TAATGCACACCAACAGCCACAATGACGACGTCAGACAACGCAATAAACATGCAATGGGATACATTATGTATATTTGCCATATTTCGTATAAAGTGATAAGGGAACTGGTAGTAGAATTTTCCCACAATGCTATGAGTAGAGCCGATGTTTACATTGAATTTCACATGGCCTTGCATTCCCAAAAAGGTGTTCTCATCCAGCCTGAAAGTGAACTGCAGTCTCGACCTCGCCTCGGTCTTAGCAACACACCCAGCGGGATTCGAACCGTGACAGTGCCGAATGGGAGCTAGACACGGTCACAGGGCAGATGACACTTTCAAGAAAGGCCAGGTCTTTTGCTATATCACATTCTTTGGTGGGATTGTCGATGAGGCAAACATGTTTTCGCTATAACAATCGACTACATTACTCATCTTTCTTATATAAGTAGTGTTTCATTGTGGGCAAATTCTACTACCAATCTTTCATCAAATGTGGTTTCTTGAACTAAAATATAAAAGTAGCAATCAAGCCATTGAGCAGCCTTGCAGTTATATGACACAACTATACGTATGGTACAGATGAACAGAGCTGAGGTCGGATGCCGAAATACCAGTCGAAATAGTGAACGGACAGATAGATTGTAGAAGTTGTGAGGACTCGAAAAGTGTACAGAGACCTGCAACAGTCTGTCAACATAGAAGTGATGTGGACATGCGTCTGGAAAGCTGATGAGGAATGGGCTAATCAAGTTAACCACTCGAGCTCGACCCCCTATCCGATGCTCAAGTCCGAGCACATGCGAGCAAACGACTCGGCGTCAGCGTGTGAAGGAGTTGGTTTTGCTTTCGATGCGGTTAGGCCGAGATGCTTCGTATGCGGAGGCGCATCAGAGTGGGCCGGTGATGCGGGCGCCAGGCGTCAAGCGGCTGAGTCACGAGGAGTGAAGTCAGTTGCGGACTAAGTCAAGACCCAGGTCCAAACAACTTGCCAAGTCAACTTGCCACATTGAAGAAGTTTCTCAGCCCCGTTTTTGCTACGTGGTCCTATCTACAATCTGGTGCACAGACATTCTTTGTAGACCAAGATGGTGTAGCCGATATTTTGGTAGCATTCTCCCCTTAATCTGTACATAACTGGCTTAAACCCGTTTTGTAACTCGGTCTTGTTGTCAAGGCTACAAAGATTCGCTTACAGTAGTCGTAGCTAATTCCAGCCACCGACTATGGACGTGGTACCTTCACAGACGGTAGGCCGGTATCGTCATTATTACGACCATTGTGGAAAATAACTTGGGACAAGATGTATTCACTCCGGTCGCCATGACAACGCGACCAATTTGAGATGATCTTAAACTATGCTTATTGTAGGTATGACGAGCTCCTAAGAT